GATGAGCCCAGGTGAGAAATTATTACCATGGTATGGCATCCACTGAGTGCCCCTGTGCTTGCCCTCCTTCCCTACTGGCCTGCCTGTCTGTGGCACAGCCTGGAACTAGGGAGCTGGACTGTCCTCGATGATGCTGTCATTATAAAAAACCACAGTCACTTGCAGCCACAGCAACAGGACACAGGCAGACAGCACGCTGAAGGCCCTGCCAAGGGCCAATGACCCTGGCCGAGTGGCCTCTGGTGCCTTGCTCTGGCCAAAACTCTAAGCGCAGGAAGCTCAAGCTGGCCAAGTTCCATGGAACTGAGCAAGGTGGGGTAAGGCCAAGCACACAGCCCTCAGTGCCCCATCAGATAGGATTCAAGACTGGAGGCATGTACTCTTCTTGGTTGTGGCTTGGCATAGCCTCACAGGCAGGGACCAGCTCCAGCAGTGAAGGCCAAGTGTCCAGCATTCACATCTGGCCCGGAAATGAGTCTCCAACAGCATCAGACTCTGGTTCGGTCTATGTCAAAATCCAGATGTCAGCACCTCCTTGGGCTGAATCCAGGACTCCTGGATTTTGAGATCAAAATTCCACTGGCAATGGGGTCCCCCTCACCCTCACCATCTCCGGGGCCCTAATCGGACACTTCAGGCCACACTCTTCCTGCCTTGCTCCCCACAAGAGAAACAGGGCCCAGTATTCCCTCCCCAGATCATTGTCTTTTATTTTTTTATTACACAAACATAGCAGACCCGAATGTTGAATTGCACTTGGCAAAGACTGGCAGGAAATGCAGTGACTTCCTCTTTCTAGAATTCACAAACGCAACAAACCCGAATGTTGAATTGCACTTGGCAAAGAGTAGCAAGAAATGCAGTGACTTCCTCTTTCTAGAATTGCTAGAAGCTTCCTGGCCCAAGTTGACCCCTGTTCATCTTCCTCAGACATTCTCATAGCCTTGCCACATCCTACCTTCTATGAAACAGGCTTTGGGTCCTGAGGAAAAGCCCCCAGCTCCCTTCCTTAGGGGACAGCCCTGCTTTTTCCCATCACAGTGGCCTCAGACATCCCCCAAAGCACTGAGGTCTGTCACTTCTCCTGAGGCCCCCTTGGCTTGGCTCCCCATCTGTGCAGAGATAGAAAAAAAACCACCTTACATGTTTGCTCTAGCTTCTGCTCCTAGTTACCAAGCAGTGTCTGCACTCAATTAGTCATGCCTTTGTTTGCCATGTATAGAAATGCCATCCTGCCTTTTGCTTTTGCCCAGAGGCTTCTTGCCAATGCATACACACAAACTCACTTCACTCCCAGTGGGGCGCCTTGGGACCTCATCATCTGCATCGCCTCATTTTGCTTCTCACAGTCCCTCATTGGAGGTGGCATCTCTGCTACATTCTGGGTTTTTTGTTCCTTTTAGCTAAATTCCTAAGAGTCTGGGACCGAAGTGCAGATCCACTTCTGGGACATCTCTACAGAACGCTGCTTACCATGGCTGACTCACAGTTTCATTTCTCCAGAGTGTCCACCTCCCCTCCAAACTCAGGGGACTTGCCCTGGGCTCGGGCTCTGCTTTCTGACTTGGGAGTGTGCTCTCCTCCATCTGGACAAAGCCTGTCCAGAGGACTCCCCCATTCTCATTGCCAGCTAGAATCTGGCTCTAACTCCAGCTTTTGCACTTTCAGATGCCCCAGGCTCAACCTCTACGCTCCACAGGTGGATCCCTGAGGTCTGGCTGAGTCCTGGCTTCCCTGTCTCCATCTGAACCCCACCTGGCTAAGGGTGAGCTGTGCCTACATCACAGCTTTGCCATCGCCTCGCTCCCTAGGAAAGGACAACATGTGTCTTGGGAAAAACGGAGGCCTTCACGGCAGGTACTTCATTGGACTTGGCAGCCATGTTGTGCGGCACGACTTGCCATGGCTCTGGTGGCAGGTTCCACACAGCCAGCCTGCTCACTCTCTAACACCCAGGTGGACGCTGGCACTGCCCACCACCCCTGCCACTCTTGAAGACCCAAGGTGAAGACCTGACCACAAGGAACCTTCTTTTTTTGTTATGCTGCTGTGGTAGAATGTTGTTGGGTGACTGGCGTGAAAACACAGCAGCAACCTTATTTCTTGTCTTACATGAAAGAAGAATTTTCATGCTGACAAACTCTAGTTTGCAAAGTATGATTTATTTAGAAAAGAAAGAAAGAGAGCTCCTGTCTGAATGACAGGAGGGGCCTCCAAGGTAGAAAAAAACCTGAGGAAATGGCAGAGATAGGGTCTTCCATGCACCAACTCAGGGAGGGGGTTCACATTAATCACCCCAAGGACAGAAAAGATAAATCTTATTCATGATGGGCAGTAATTTCTACTGCCTTGCCCTGAAATAAAAGGTGAGACGGGCAGCTGCCTTCCCCCATCCTGAAGATAAACTGACACCCTGAAGACAAACTTTGACAGTGACCAAAGTGGGCCAGTCTCCTTGCTAACGGACAGGGATCGATATGTTGATTCTGTCCCTTTGTTTTCTCTTCCCTTCAAGAAAAGTACGGGAATAGGGGAAAACCCTGTTTTTAGAAACACAACATCTTAAAGGTAACTTCTCCAGAGACCCTATCTTCTGCCCATCTTCAACTAACCCGGTCCTCATTTGACACTAACATCCCATTTTTTCCCTTCTACCCTCTCTGACCCTTTTAAATCCCCAACTCCCTTCCTGTCTCTAGGAGTTGGACCATTGTGGGGTGACTCACATCTATTTGGTGTTACAATGTGTCTTCATGCCACCTTACTTCACTTAGCATCACATCTTCACTGCTCATTTGTTATTATGTCAGAAATTCTTTTTAAAAAATATTGTTTGAAAGACAGAGTGACATAGAGAAGAAGAGACAGACCTTCCATCTGCTGGTTCTTTCCCCAAAGGGCTGTCATGCTCAGGAGTGGGCAAGGCTGAAGCCAGGAGCTGAACCTTCATCCTTGTCTTTGAGTCATACAGTGAGTAGGACACAAAATGGCAGAGGTGTGGCTACTGTGGGTCTGGCTTTGTAGTGAGGTAGGCAGCTAGTTCTGGGTCAGGAGCTTGGAAGCCACTCCCCGCCCCCACCACCTAGGTGTTCCCTCCTGCCCACCTGTAACTCTCACCTATCACTTGAGAGAGGGTAGTATTGTATTGTTGTGTAACCACTTTCCTAACAAGCCTCTATAAAGGCCCATGATAGGGAGGGGTTCACTCTTAGTCCTGTGCTTCTGTTGCTCTGGCAGTCTGATTCTTGGCCAGGACAGACTCTGAGGACAGGTATCCCCTGAGCATGGCTCCTGTGTGTCTGTATTCCTCATCCTCTGTTCACTGCTTGGGAAAGACAGGAAGATAGAAATGATAAGATGCATTGTATTTTTAATTTGTGTACTATCGGGAGTTCCAGGAGAGGTGAAGTCTAGCAGTAGTGTAATGTGGACAAAGAAGCCAGGAAAAGGTGAATGTGCAGCTTTGAAAATGTGTCCAGGTTATTCGCTGCATGTTTCTTAGGATAACATATTGTTGGGAAAGCTGAAATGTGGGTCTTCAGCTGAACGGTTGGACTTCAGGGTAATGACCTTTTGTTCCTCTTGGGGTTACGATTGATTGGATTGTCATATGGACTTGTGATTTGTTTTTTCTAGTGGGCCCTGTTATCACCAAACTTGGTTAATAAGGACTCCTTAATAAACCTTAGACATGTCTGGCATGATTTTGCTCGCACCCCACAACAGCTTCTTCCTGGCTGTTCTCCAGGACTCCCTGTCTGGTGACCTGACACTTGTTCTGTGCAAACACCTTGTGACACCCCCATCTGCTGTCTACCCCTTGGCAACATTCTGGGACTATGTGCATGGCTTCGGAAGTGCCACATTCCTTGGGTTTTTGGTGCTTCGGCCCAGACATCCCAGGCCCGCCCCCTCTACACACGCCTTGATCCAGGGCCTGAAGACACATTCCGTGCTGGGCAACTCTGCCAAAGCAGGAAATGAGCTTGGACTGGCACAGCCCACTCAGCCAACTGGACCCGGGTTTCTTTCTTGCTTGAAGTAAGAAGTTCCAGCTTGAAGGACAAACCGGTGGTCTGAGCACCTACCTGCTGGGAGACACAAGATACAGGGAGATGCGGAAAGCTTATCAGCTTCCCCTCCTTCTCTGAGCTGGCCTGGGAAATCCCTGTCCTCGTGCCTCCCTAGGCACCCATGCTGGGAGCTGCCAGCTTGCCTCCAAAGGACACCTACGGCTTGTTGGGTTAGCACCCAAAAGGAGCTAAAAACTGGGGGATTGATCAGCAACTCCCCAGCCCTGCTGAGCCCTCTCTTCCTGCCTCCTGGCTTTTAGGTCTTGTGTGAAGCAGGAAAGAGGATGCTTCTGAAGGAAATTGGCCCAGGAAGTGACCACTGAAGGCTAGGGTCGAGGGGGCAGCTCCAGCTCTGGGAGAGCCTTACCTGTTAGGTAAAAAAGAAAAAGCAACCACCTAGAGTTACAAAGATAGGGTCATTTATTTATGTTATATTACTGGATTTGAAAGGCAAAAATACAATTTTATTTTGAACACCAAGGTCAGACACTCCCCCTCCCCCCCTTTTACAGTGGTAAATACACACATTTGCATCCATGGGAAACAAAAGACACAGCACAACGGGGCTCCAGGACATGAATACTGTCCTCTGGGCTGCGTGGCACCTGCCAGCCCGCCTGAGGTCAGTGGAGACCTAGGCTGGGGCCAGCACAGCCCTTCCTTTGTCCTCCTGTATCGGCTTTTGCCCCAAAGTCTGCTATCAGCAACAGACTGGGGAGAAAGAGAGAAAGGCACTGCACAGGACAACTTGGTGGCCACAGCTCAAGGATGAAGGACATGCCTTCTGACCCCATGAGGACACAGGGCCCGTGGCACCTCTACACTGGGCTATCATCCAGGCTGGGGGTGGGGGAGCCAAGGCAGCACTGGAAGGTTGGCAAATGGGGGAGCAGGAAAAGCAGAGGTGCCCTTGGTTTTGACCATGAACCACATTGACATGATGGAAAATGCAACAGGAAACAAAAGGCAGTGTTGTAGAAGTCCAGTTGGAAACAGAGAAATTACTGCTCAGGGCATCTGATCTCTTTAAGGCACTTTGGAAGCATCAAGGACTGTGGGACAGGAGGGGCCTTTATTCTTTGCATTTTCCCAAACTCCCTCCTGGGGCAGTCACTCCTAGTTTTACAAACATGACGATTAACAAACGAGGAACTGACAGAAAGGAATATTCTTTACATAGCCCAGCCACATCTGCGAGTGGAAGAGAATCTCCAACCAAAACAAAGGTTTTTTGGAAACAGAATCAAGTTAGCATCTGAGATGCTCAAAGCAATAAAGGCACAGGTAAGATTGGGGCTGGACACAGCTCAGCCACACACTGAGGCAGTGGCTGGCGTCCAGCCCTGGAGCCAGACAGCAGCATCTGAGGACCATGGCCCACGCACTCAGTGGTGGGAAGTGCCTTTCGGCAGAGTCAGTCTTCACAGATGCACCCGTGGGTCAGCTTCACAGCCAGCAGGGAGCACCAGCTAGGAACCCAAGATCCACAGGAAGGAGCGGGGCTGTGGGTCCAGCTACACTTCTTTCCAGATCTAATTGAAAGGCACATTCAGGCTGGAGAATGAATAGGCTGTTTGACCCTGAGTGCCACAGGCAAGAGGCAAAGGAACTTAGAGGGAGAGGAAGGAAGGAGAAAGGCAGGGCCTGGAGAGAAGGGGAGGAAGAAGGAGGGTGGGGAATTCAGGACGGGCCAGGCAGAAGGGCAGGAGCTCCAGGGAGGCCCCTGCCAGTGCCCACCCACCAAGGAATGCTAAACAACCTGGTAGCTGCTGTCTACCACCCACAGCCAGGGCTCATCAGAGAATGGGGTTCCTGCCACCCTGCCCACCCGGGGAGGGTAGGGAGGACAGAAGCTTGTGTCCTCCACATCCATCTGGCATGAGAGTGCTGACATGGAAGCCTTGCCCTTGTCAAGGGTCCTGAAGGTGATTTTGCTCTGCATAAAACCTTGCCTGCCAGCTACATCAGAGGCCCATTTGTGGCCATGACGATATATGTGATTTTTTTAATCCCCTAAAAAATGCTCAATCCCTTCCCCACACTTGGAACACCACAATAAAAATACATAGGAAATTCAAGTTTACATAGCATGCTCAGAAAAATAAATTGTCATGACTTAACGCTGAACAGCTAGGCAGATTTGGATCAAAACATAATCATGCTGAATCACAGGTAGAACCTGAACTGTTCTTTAAGATACTATAAACTGCTACTTTCAAAAAAAACCCTTTACATTCAGAAATCAGACAGATCAATCTACAGACCGGCCACTAGGAACATCCATGGCTTTTGCTCTGACGGCTAAAGTTGCCTTGGAATTCACACATTAGCACAATCAAAGGTCCAAAGCTCAAGTGTTAAAATCTTTTTGCTGAGAAAAGACTCATGCACAATGATTGTAATAGTTGCACGCCGCCGAGGAAAGGGGTGGTAGGGACATTGGTGACAATGGAACAAACTTTAGTTTTTTCATTACAATATAACAAACACGCACACGCACACACACAGTGACAATCGAAAAATATATATATATATAGCACGCCAATCTAATTTCAGCAGCAGTCATCCAACTTTCATGAAGTAGGAAGAATACTACACTAATTCTGACCCATTTCCTAACATCGACCAGTTTTATCACAGGGAATGAACGCCATGTCCACTGCCTTTGGGACTGCGTGGCCTTGACTCTTTGCCACAATGCCAGGAATATGTCAAGCCCTACCCCACCCACACCCTCCAAGGCTGACTGCTCCTACACTGACAAACACTGAGTGGGGCTAAGAAGTCACATGCCACGCCTTGCTGAGGAGTACAGGCAATCTCCCACTGGTCCTGGTCTCTTGGAGAAGCTTCTGGCCGCTGAGCGTAGGGGGAACCTAGTGCTCAGACGGCTAAGAAATGAGAGGGCCCAGCCCAGCAGGGTGGTAGAGACCCCGCAGAGGTCTCTGGCCACCTTCAGGTCTCTTCTGGGCATGCCAAAACGCTAGCTTGGTGTTCCGACATCCACTGTGATTTTGGTATACAACGGGTATCTCTGTATGTCCAGCACCTGGTAGGTGAGTGAGTTCAACCCGTCTGAGAGCATTGTCTCCTTGGTGTGTGCGATGCGGTCAAACCTGCAAAGAGAGCCAAAGGGCCGGGGGCTAGGGTCAACACCCAAATGCTAAGAAGCAGTTGTTGACTGCCTCTGTGCTGTCTGTCCCCTGCCTCCCTCCAGTTCCAGCCCTGGTCCACAGGCTGGGGCATAGAGCCTCCCCCCTCAAGCTTACAGGCAGGCCCCACCCTTAGTGGGGAAGAAGGATCGGGAAAGGATGAATAATTTACCTCTGAGGGTTGGGTTCATTTTTCTTATCCCTGGAGTGACGGATCATGCGACATCTCCCCACCACAGCATTTGGACGTGATATGGACATGCCTTTGAAAATTAACCTGCCAAGAAGAAAGGGACAGGTCATTAGCATAGTGAGGCTGGGAGCTATAGGACTGTGGCCTGGCCCTTCCTTAGCACAGTGAGGCTGGGACGGGGGATCAGCACAACCATCACCTGGTCATTGTACAGTGAGGCTGGAGGGTCTGGGGGACAGTGGCCTGATCCTTCCTTATGGGGGGCTGCGGGACAGTGCCTGGCCCCTCCCTGCAGTGCTCTGCTTGCTATTCTTACTCAGCCCACACCAGTGACCATGGAAGGACAGGGGCCTTTCAACCCTGCCCCATACCCTCTAGCAACTGGGGCTGAGGTCTGTGGCATCGACGCTGGAGAGCATCTACCCCTAAAGGACTCGCATGCAGCTGTCTGTGGCCAGAGTGCAGGTGCGCAGGGGACACAGGGGAGAAGTGATTATCTTTGCTTGAGCAGGTTTGTGAGGACCCACTGGTATCTGCTGGAGCATCACAGCTCAGCACAGGCACATCAGCACACCCATATGGGTACTGGTTCAAGTCCTGGCTGCTCCATTTCCCACCCAGCTCCCAGCTAATGGCCTGGGAAAGCAGTGGAGGATGGCTTAAGTCTATGGAACCCAGTATCCACATGGAAGTCCTAGAAGAGGCTCTTGGCTCCCAGCTTTGGCCTGGTCTAGCTCTGGCTGTTGTAATCAGTGCATGGAAGAGCTCTCTCTCTAACCATGCCTCTCAAACAGATAAATAAATCTTTAACAAGCAGAAGGGATTTCAGTTGTGACCATTACCTGTTAAAAATGTCATCATCCTCGCCTCCCCAGCCCCAATAATTATTAGGAAATCCGTTGATGGCGAGAAACTGTTGTTTACTCAGAGCTGAGACGCCTCCAAAATACTGAACATAAGGCAGGCTGGGGAGAAACACACAGAGAACAGCGTGGTTAGTAAGTTTCGACTTCCCAGAGAAAACCTGCTGAGAGAACACATACTTCCAAAGGGATCCTGGACTCTGGGAACTTTCTGACAGGCTTATCAGGGTTTTTCTTTCATGCCAAGACTCAGGTCATTTTGGAGAAGATGTGGTTATTAAAAAGCAGATCTTTCTTTGCCCAAGAATGCTGTGCTGTCTGTGCCTATTAAGAAAAGCAGCTGGTAGGCCCAGCACAGTAGCCTAGCAGCTAAAGTCCTTGCCTTGCATACACCAGGATCCCATAGGGGCACCAGTTCTAATCCCAGCAGTCTTGCTTCCCATCCAGCTCCCTGCCTGTGGTCTGGCAAAGCAGTGGAGGACGGCCCAAAGCCTTGGGACCCTGCACCCATGTGGGAGACCTGGAGGAGGTTCGGGGCTCCTGACTTTGGATCAGCTCAGCTCCGGCCATTGCGGTTACTTGGGAAGTGAATCATCGGACCGAAGATCTTCCTCTCTGTCTCTCCTCCTCTCTGTATATCTGCCTTTGCAATAAAAATAAATAAATCTTTAAAAAAGAAAACAAAAGCAGCTGGTGACAAGGGTGGTCTTCCATAGTGGCTGGGGTCTGCTTCTCACATGTCCTGCTCCTACAAATGCAGCCCTTACCCAGGAGGTTCTAGAGCTCCAGATTGTTGGAAGGTCTCCTGGTGCCAACCCTGGCCTGGCCCAGTCCCCACCTGCCATCTTCCAAAGACAAGCCAGCTTAAACAGTATCCCGAGTTAAGACAGCTTTTCTGAAAATTTGCTAAAATAGTCATTTCTTTGAAGTTTTTGCTTTTGTATCACTTAGCCAACTGTGTCATGGTCAATCAGCTTTCTCAATCAGTGTTTCAGGTGTTATGAAGAGTAGACTCCTGATGGGCAGAGAAGAGGCTCCGAGAAGGTCAAGAACTGCACACAGAGCGGGCACTATGACACAGCAGTCAAGCCACAACTGGGGACACCTGCAGGTTTGTGCCTAGACTCAAATCCTGCCCTTGCTTCTAATCCAGTTTCCTGCTAGTGCATCCTCGGGGGAGTAGACAACACCTTGGGGGCTGGGCCTTGCTGCCCCCTGAGGAAGCCTGGGATGGAGTTGCTGGCTCTGGCCTTTGGTCTGGTCCAACTCTGGTTGTGGCGGGCATTTGGGGCAGTGAACCAGGAGATGAAAGATACTTCTCCCTCACCTCTCTCTGTCACATGGACAAAAACACAAAATAAGAACAAAAAGATATTTAGGATGTGTCATAAAAGCCATACAATGACCTTCCCATGGGTGCTCTCATTGTTATAGTTTTTAAAGTATTTATATTTATTTATATTCTTATTTGAAAAGTAGAGTAACATACAGAGGAGAGACAAAAAGAAATCTTTCATCTGCTGGTTCACTCCCCAAATGGATGAGCTGGTCCAAAGCCAGGAGTCATGAACTTCCTCTGGATCTCCCATCTAGATGCAGGGTTCTACAGACTTGAGCCATCCTCTGTGGCTTTCCCAGGCCATTAGCAAGAGTTGGATCAGAAATGGAGCAGCTGGGATACAAACCAGCACCATATGGGATGGTGGCGAAGTAGGCAGATGAACATGCCAGTAACCAACAGCTACAGTTTTGTGTTAAGCCTGAGTGTAGTGCCAAATCACACTTGGACTCTTGCTGGACTTCATGGAAAGTAAAACTCATCACAGAAATTAACTTCAGGGGGCAGTCCTTTCAACCATACAGACCGTATGGAAGTGAGCATGTTATTTTCCCATGTACTCAAGTATTGACTGCAAGTATCCATGAGCGAAAATCCCTTAGGGCCTGCTTCAATGAATCTAAGGTAATCTAAAGTAATACATTTACAATTAGGCGTCACCACTCAAGTGCCAAGTCATCCACCTGTTGGCAAATCTCACACTGCTGTAAACTCTTTTATTACAGGGTTTTGAACCAGAGGGAGCCAGGCCAGTAAATCTTTCAATAATCAGTGATTTCTTTTTAATGTCTTCTTTTTTTTTTAAGTAATTTTTTTTATTTTGATAATCTTTACATAGTTAATTTGGGTAAAAAGGTTCAAGGGCTACAGGAAAGTGGGTAAGATTATTATTTCCATATTGTTTCCTCTTATTTTCTTTTAAACAATGTTTACGTATTTGAGAGGGATTCAGGCTCATATGGGTCTCTGAGATAATCTGTGTTTTTATAGAGATGGATTCTTACTTCATAGAACAATCCTGCCCCATCTTCAAAACTGGAGTCTCTCCCTTTAAGATAAGAAGTCTAGGGTTTGAATATATTTAATCAGGAGGAAGTTCTTCACACAGTCCCCCATGCATTCATCAAGGAGAGGAAGAAATGATGGGAACAGGAGCAAACATTGTGGAATAGTGAGGAAAGCCATCATCTGTAATGCCAGCATCCCATATGGGCACTGGCTATACACTGCCCATCAGTTCCCTAATAATGGCTTGGGCAAAGCACTGGAAGATATTCCAAGTTCCTGGGTCCCTGCTACCTACATAGTGACTCAGAAGAAGCTCCTGGCTTCAGACCAGTCCAGTTTTGGTCATTGTGGCTATCTGAGTGAACCAGCAGATGGATGATCTTCCTGTCTCTCCCTCTAATGTGTTCAAATAAGTAAATCTTTAAAAAATGTGCCAAAGAACACCTGCTGAGGAATCCAAGCTCAACAATCAGAAACCCTATGGGGCAGGGATGGGAAGAAGTAAAATTACATGATATCTGTTTGTAGCCTATACGTGAGCACCGCCCCCCTCAAGTGTGCAGACTGCTCTTGTCTGGTCCTCCAGTCAGGACAGGCATCTCCAGAGTCTTCTTTCCTGCTCAGGTAATGACCAGCTCAGCCTTCCAAAGCCCACATGTCTCAGAGGAGCCCTATCTTCTCTGGAGCCTAACTAGGCCTTCTGGGCCCTGGAGGAAGCATGACTCGCCCACACAGGCGAGAGACCCTGGCTGTACAATCTCTTACCTAAACCCGAACTTATCCATGGCGACGGAAATGTGCCGCGGCTGGGAGAAGCACCTGTAGCTGTTCCGGTCATCCATGGGAATGAGGTCCACGTCACTGAACACGAAGCAGTTGTAGTCATAGTCCTTCAGGGACTCTTGGAAGCCGATGTTGAGGAGCTTGGCACGATTGAACATGGAGTCTCCTGCCTGCCACAGAGACAACAGGAAAAATCTGGCATGAGGACTGTCTGAAGGCCGAACGCTCTCAGGGACCACTGGCTTGCTTCCTGCACAGGGGCAGCAGTCAACACTGGGGCCTGCTTTCCCTGTCCTAAGTTACAAATCAATACCACCCTGGCAGTCCCACAGCTGCTAGGAGCTGATCCTGCTCGAGGGTTGCACTTGCGCAAGAGCCTACAAAGAACAAGGCTGCTCATGGCAGAGCACTGGCCAAAGCCAAAGGCTACAGGGATGGACACGGGCACTGCTGGGGAGCTGGCCAAGTCAGTCATGGCACATCTGTACAATGGAATACAGCTGTTAAAATGCACACAAGGAAGCTCTAAAACAAAAGGTGTTACAGCATTTAAACACACATCATTTAGTTACAGATACTCATATACTATAAATAGACGAGCTTGTGACAGCTGGGCGCCTAGGGGACATTCGCTTCGGCCTTCTTTACGAGGCTGACTGTGTTGACTATATTATGGGCCTTTCAGGGGTTTGAGAGGCACTAGATGAGGTGCCAGGGAAATATGGCGAATCCTACTTCATCTCTGCTCTCCCAGCAATTACTGTGCAGCAGGGGAAGTGGTGTGATGCACAATTTGACAGAAAAATGGTATAGGAAGAAGGAAAAGGGTACATGCTTTAGGGTGCCAGCCAGTGGGTCCCAAAGCCTGTGTGTGTAGGTGGTATAGTAGTACTTCCTCTGTCTTGCAACTACCTTGCCAATTCCCAGCCTCTCCCATCAGAAGGTAAGTTCCATGAAGGTTGGATTTCTATTGTTATTCACTCAGGGTCTCAACCCCTGCCTGTTGTATAGTTAAGAGCTCAGTAAACAGTGGCTGAATGGCTGGATGAACAAATGGAGGAAGCAAGGAGTGAAGGAATGAGTGGACTCATGGATGGGTTTCAACATACAACAGCACCTGGTCACCCTTCCAATAAGCTTCCACTGAAGGGTCCTCTTGGGGGTCTGACGGGAGCCTGCTCTTCCCAACTCCAGGCTCCAATGAGTGAAAGCACCCTAGCTCAGCAGCCCCACCATCCACCCAATCCTCTTGTTGACACTCATCCTCTGAGGAGCCAATGCTGCACAGTCACTGCCTGGGGTGCTCTCCCACAGCACCCCAGGATCAGCAAGATCAGAGTCTTTGGGCCTGGGGAGAAAGTGTTTCACAGGTCCCTGCATGAGGCTTTACAGAGCCTCTGTCCACAGGCCCGGATATGGACACTGCGCCAGACACCTGGGTAAACCCTATGGGTGCACTTTGTACCACACTGCCTTCTTGCAGCATGCAATGCAGCGAGGAAGCCAGGAGATGGCAACACAATCAGGCAGACGACTCATCCATAGGATGACAGTGCCTCTTGGCAGCCCCTTGACAGAGCTTGTTAACCATGTGTGATAGGCAGAGAAGGCCCTGCCCAGAGGTTCTGGTGTGTTGGGGTCGCCCCACGATGGGGGAATCCATGGAGAATTCTGTTCAGTGCCATGCTCTGTATGCCAAGGAACAGCAAAGTCAAAGTTGAAAGATCAGAAACTGCCTGTGCTAACTGCAGAGTTTATTGGAATGACTGTTTTTAATGAGGCAATCTACTATTTGTATCCACTGGGGGAATGTCACCTGCCAGGCACAGGAAACCTGTTTCAACATTATCACTTGATCATCTTGACAGTCATGTGGCTGTCCTCACACCAACACAGACTACAGCCTCACAGACAATGCTGTACTGAACACGTTCTTCACAAGGGAAAGGGAAGCATCCCCAGTAAAGCCCAAGTGTGTGGCTTCCCAACCCCTGACAATACTCGTTTCCCTTGGGACACTCCCTCGTAATGGGCAGGGTGCTTCTGCTGGACACCACAGTTTGATCAGAGCAGATGACTAACAGAGATGGAATCAGGCAACGTTTCCTTCCAGGAAGCACAGACGGCACGCCTGAGGCCAACGCCTGGGAATGATGGTGGCTGAGCCAAGGCCAAAAGCAGATCTGCTTTTATCCTTTTCCAAGAAGCAGACTCCTTCCTCCTGGGTGGTGCACCAGCTCCTGCCATTCAGTGTCTGGCCTCAGAACTGCAGCAATGACACACTTGCCCCTAGCTCCTCCTGTCCTAGTCCTCGTGCCTGTGTGTGACCCAGGGAGAGGGAGACACAGGGTGCACTCTGGTGACAGCATCTAGCAGGCACCCAGGAACCACAGGTATGCAATATGGCAGACAGGACAAGTGTGCCTTCCACCTCTGGGATTACAGAGAAACCATGCCTTTTTTAGGTTTCTGGTGATGAAACGCAGTTAGCAATGGGTGCCTCTTTCTTGGCAACAAAGACAAGCCTTGGCAGGCCCACTGACCCTGTCTACCAACACAGGGTGGGAGGCCTTCCAGCTTGACCCTGCTCTCCTCACCATTCATCCAGTGCACCTGCTACTTCAGCCACAAAGCACCTGTTTATCAAGTACTGGCGGCCAGGCCAGGCCAGGCCAGGCCAGGCCAGGCCAAATGCACCACTGTGCCAGATGCATGTGCTCTGACCCCGGACTGCCAGCCTCTTCACATCCTATCACACACACAGGTCTCACTTTCCTCTTTGGTGCCATGGGAATGGTGACAGGTGCCTTGTATGATATGAGATGATGCACAAAAACACCTCAACGAGCTGCTGGACAGTGATCAGGGTCGGTGACCGACGCGATTCCAGGAGTAAGCTCCACAGCCCTCCTCAGACAATTAGAGCTTCCCTGTGCCTCTCAGGAGACTTGGCCTTTTCCAGGTGTGGACATGACTTTTCTGATCAGCTACAAAATCCCTCCCCCAAATCCTGCCTCTCTGACGGAGTAGGGCATTTCTTAAAAGGATTAAGTCTCAAGCAAGTGAGCCTGTGGCTCACACAATTGGAGTGTCTGGAGCAGCAGGATGTCAGAGGGACCCGTAGGGATTCCTGATATATGTGGGAAGTCACATTCCATGGAGAGGGGCCACCACACCGGGAACACGGTCATCTTGAAAGACTCTGCTTTCAGGGCCCAGCGCGATAGCCTAGCGGCTAAATTCCTCCCCTTGAATGCCCCGGGATCCCATATGGGTGCCAATTCTAATCCTGGCGGCCCCGCTTCCCTTTCAGTTCCCTGTTTGTGGCCTGGGAAATCAGTCGAGGATGGCCCAAAGATTTGGGACCTTGCACCCATGTGGGATACCCGGAAGAAGCTCCTGGATCCTGGCTTCGGCTCGGCACAGCACCGGCCGCTGCTGTCACTTGGGGAGTGAATCATCGGACAGAAGATCTTCCTCTCTGTCTCTCCTCCTCTCTGTATATCTGACTTTCCAATAAAAATAAAAAAGAAATAAATCTTAAAATAAAGGAAGACACTGCTTTCAAGGTGCGAGCTTCAGCTTAGTTGGTGGACAAGCGTGAGCATCACTCCCTTCATTCTTGGGCAACTGGCTGCTCTTAGAGACACAATGGGAAAAAAAGGAGGTAAGGCCAGAAAACACCTAAAATCCCCCAATGCCTGCACTGACACCATTGCAGGATGGGACACCAGAGAGAGCAGGGACAAAGAGATCAGACATTGATGGAGGAGGGACAGTGCAATAGCAGAAAAGCACTGCCTGGTCAGAGTGTGTACAAAGGAGCCAGAGGAGCTTTGGCCAATCAGTAAAGCCAATGAGATGCTGGCATCCCACATGCAATAAATGCCATGGGGCCTGGCGCAGTGGCGCAAGTGGTTAGGGTCCTCGCCTTGCACACCCGGGATTCCATATGGGTGCCAGTTCTATCCCAGCAGCCCCGCTTCCCATCCAGCTCCCTGCCTGTGGCCTGGGAAAGCAGTCGAGGACGGCCCAAAGCTTTGGGACCCTGCACCCCGTGGGAGACCCGGAAGAGGCTCCTGGCTTCGGATTGGCATAGCATTGGCCATTGCGCTCACTTGGGGAGTGAATCATCGGATGGAAGATCTTCTTCTCTCTCTCCTCTCTGTATATCCGTCTTTCCAATTAAAAAAAATAATAAAAATAAATCTTTAAAAAAAATAAATGCCATGAGATGCTGGCATCTCACATGGGCACTAGTTCAAGTCCCAGCTGTTCTACTTATGATCCAGCTTCCTGTTTTTGTGCTGTAAAGGCAGGGAGGATTTCCAAAGTGCTTGAGCCCCTGCCACCCACGTGAGAGACTAGGGAGTTCCTGGCTTCTGGCTTCAGACCAGCCCAGCCCCAATCCTTGTGGCCACCTGGGGAGTGGACCAGCAGATAGATGATCTGTCTCTCTTCCCCAACTCTGCTTTTGGGTAGGGTAAGGAAAGACTGTAAGCAAACTGAATATTCAAGAAAGGGCAAGAAACTGAGTGAAGTATAGGGCAATGAGACTCTGCCCTGCGAAAGTTCACAAAAATAAACTGGCCAAAAGCCCATACAGGAAGCAGGCAGAAAGATGGCTGAGGAGCACTGATGAAGCATGGCTCTTCTTGGGGTTCAAGACTTTAGAGTAGTTAGCACTCCTGGGCACAGCCTTATGAGAAGCCAGTCCTTACACAGCCTGACTGAGGCCGAATGAGAAATGGGTCATGTCACACAATGGACGCCCACTAAGATACTTAGACTTTATCTTTTATTTAGGCCGCAGGGAGCCTTAAACTCTGCATGTCAAGGTTGGATTTGTGCCCCAGGCCAAGTGAAGGCAGGGAGGCCAGTTAGGAAGCTGCTGGGCAAGCTGTGTGAGATGGTAGCTGCAGGTTAGTAAAGGCGACCTCTCCCTGGGGTCCCGCTCCAACTTTTCTTCTTTTTATAATCTTTATATAGTCGATTAGGGCACACCTTTTTTATGTTATTATTATTTTGAAAGAGAAAGAGGCAGACACTCCTTCCTTCTGCTGGTTCATTCCCCAAAAGACCACAATGGTTAAAGTCTGAAGCCAGGAGCTTCCTTTGGGTCTGTCACGTCAGTGCAGGATCCCAAGGCTTTGGGCCATCCTCCATTGCT